GGTGGGTGTGTGAGCAGGAGCGAAGGTAGATGAGAAGAGAGAGTGAAGAGAGCATCTCTCTGGCTTAAGTAGCCTTGATGACAGGTCTGGTGTGGAAACTGACCAATGACTGGTCCGGTGTTTGGGCGTTTATGGCCTTTGAAACCCCCACACGAGGGGTCCGCTATCTGGCGGGTGTTCTTTATGACTCTTCAGTCACCACAGAACAGGACTTTTAGACTTAAACACGCCTCAAGGAGAGTTTTTGTTTGGTGAGCACATGGACAGATTTCCAACCATGTTCCTTGTGTGTTTCAGTTAATGAACAAGTTCATATTTAAAGGTATCCTTGGATCCCAACAGATGTAATGTATTAACTGTATATGTATGTATGTGTTTGAATAATGATAGGCAGAACCGGAAAGAGCGTCTTATGCAGAAGAAGTGGTCTCATATTGACCCACATCTGATTGATCCACTGGATGAGAAGGAGGTCTCTCTGAAGGTAAATGGCCACATCAATAACCTGTTTCCTACATGTTACAGTGACAGTCAGGCTAAACTTTTCACTGACTGCATTGAGATGAGGTAAAAAAAACGTTTTAAATGTTTACCTCAAAGACAAGAAAATTATTGAACTCCACGTCATATATTTATATGATTCATGTAAGTGTATGTGTGTGTGCGTATATGTAACAGATTGATGAAGATAAGAGGAAGGACAGCACGTATTTCAATCACAGATGCCGCTATGACAAAAAGGTAACAACATTTCAACCTCTCAAAATAAATATAGAGTCACAGAGAGATGATCATGTCTGTCTGAGTGTGTCTTATTCCTCTGTATTCTTCAGCCTGTGATCTTGAAAGAGTTGAAGCAAACTGACGGAAACTTCACAGAAGACCAGAAGATTGAGCTTAACACTGTAAGCTTATTCCTTGTATATCAAACCTCTGAGTTTTTAAAGCATTGGAGTAAGTGGACACTGTCCGCTGTACTGCAATCCAACTGTTTAATTTACTGTAGGTACATTTAAATCATCCTTTCTGTCCCTCGTTTGAGGTGCTTTCCTGTTTATTGCCAGAGGAAGCAGAAATGTGGGGCCTTCCTTTTCTCTTTTAAATGTTCCCTTCATGTTACATTTACACACACCTTTTCCCCACATAACATAACATTTTTAATAGAGGTAGAGGATGCTAATGCTAAACTTGATGATAATTGATTATTCTAGCTTTCTGCTATTTCCAGTTGCATGCATCTTTCTGACAATACATCAGATTTTCCTCTCTAACATTATATAAAAGATAATCACGTCTGCTTTATATGATCTATTTAAACCCCCTTTACCCAACCTCCCTGTCCCTCTCAACCCTTCCTTTCACTTCTCCCTCACCTCCATATCTTCATGTTTCAGCTGCGGTGTATCGATTACTACAACCTGACCAAGTTCTACGGCACGGTGAAGTTTGAGTACAGTGTGTACGGGGTGTTTGAGCTCTGTCAGCGCGGCTCCCTCAGGGTAAGAGAAGACCGCCATTCACACAGTCCTTCTGTCTTGCTCTTTCAGATGCTGCTGCCAGCTTTTTAAAAAAATCTATTAGTATATTTTTATATTCAGGTTGTAGGCAGGCATTGGAAGATGTCTCTAACTATGTCAGGGAGGTAATGTTTTGTTTGTTAGCGCAGTAGATCTAATACCTGTTTACAGATGCCAGTTAAATGTTAGACAATGGGGTATGGAATACGTGTTTCAATGTTTGTGTAGATCCACACATTTCATTGTGAGAAAGGACCTTATTTAACTTCATTGCTATTTTTAAAAATGTATTTATGCATTTTTTTTACTTTCTTACTTTTTTCTTTTTGCATCTCTCCATGCACATACAAAAATAGTGATATCTAGTTTTTTTTTTTATTGTAACATTTTACAATCCAACGCACTGGACCTCCTAAATGTATTTGAATTGTATTTTTTAACCTACATTGGAAATTAATTAAAAGTCACGTTAAAAGTCATTTATTATTTGAAACAAAATACCAAGTTAAATGTTTTGTGTACTCTGCATGAAATGATGACTTTCTGTTACAGTACACAAACACACTGTTATTTATTACAGAGCTCAGTGACTCCCCTTTCTCCACTGCTCATAATTACTTTACTGTTCATATAATAAGTCGCAGGCACACAGTTTTAAAAGCACTAGTAGTCTGTGCGTTAATGCACGTAATCACACACACACACACAGACAACTGAGTGAGGCATGTAAGCAGAGTGGTAAAAGTGATAAAGTATGAACTTCTTTATCTGTTTTTTTCTAGTATATTCTGAATGACAGGATCTCCTACCCTGATGAAACCTTCATGGACATGGAGTTTAAGATCTCAGTCATGTATGACATAGCAAAGGTATTGTTTTCTTTTGATTTGGTTATGTTGGTGTGCCACATATTCTTAGACTTATCTAGCTCATTTAGCTGTTTTTTACTAAAAAGTAAATTCATTCCACATCATTCCAGGATTTATTTTCATCAGCAATATTTACTAAAATTCAGCAGTATTTTTCCCATCAACATAGCCTGATTTATGGTATTTGTTATCAGTTTTCTCAGTGTATTTTACTCACAATATATTTTAAAGGAGAGTAAGATGATAATACAAATATCAACTCTGTACAATCCTCCTGGGTTAACCATACTGCTCACTACTGTCCCCTTGCTTAACATATTCTACAGGGTATGTCATATCTCCACTCCAGTAACATTCAGGTCCATGGTCGCCTTAAGTCCACCAACTGTGTAGTTGACAACCGCATGGTGGTCAAGATCACAGACTTTGGTTGTCACACCATCTTAAATCCTGGCAGAGGTAAGACTGGATTTTTCATCATCATTGCGGTCAGTTATTGATCCAAACACTGAGAATACCACAAACTCAACGTCTCTCACCTCCTCTACTCTCAGATTTGTGGACGGCCCCGGAGCATCTTCGTAAAGATGGTGTGTCTCAGAAAGGTGATGTCTACAGCTATGCCATCATTGCGGATGAGATCGTTAGGAGACGGGCCCCGTTCTATACACAGTGCTGCTCTGATCCTACAGGTAGGCTGGGATAATTTGGCACACCATTAAACTGTGATAAATAATAATAATAATGATCTTTACAAAACAAAACTGAGAGAAAATTAACATATGACAATCAGTTATTTTATTTAAAGAGGAGCTTTCTGTTCCTTCCTATAAAACCGGATTGGTTGTGTGATAATATCTGTGGACTGATTACAAAAAAATCATTCAGTGTAAACATTTGAGGCATTATGTTGGCTGTCTCAGCCCAAAATTTAGTTTCTGATACTGATCTAAGATTGGTTGTTGATGCAGAACACCTTTTAGGTGCTAGTCTTTATTGAACAATGGCCATACACAAAAACATGACATGGAAGATTTATGCCAGATTTAGACATTAACTATTTCCACTTGCAGTTCCTGGGCAGGTACAAACCCTCACAGACCACACACTGCTCACCTTGATTAACTAAATGTCATCCAATCCCTCAGAGAAGATATATAGAGTGCAGTTTCCCAGTGGGACGAGCGTCTTCAGGCCTGACCTTAACTTTGAGGGTGCATCAGAGAGGGAGATCGAGGTAAGAGAGCCACCAAATGAAGATATTTGTTGTTAGAGTGCACAGTGTAAGCATGATGGTTGATAGAATAAAGCTGCTTGGGCTCATCAGAGTTAAATAAAGAAAGCCATCCTCTACCTCCCTCCCTCTCTCTGTCCGTGTGTGTTGTTTTGTGTGTATACAGCTATACACGTTGATAAAAAATTGCTGGGATGAAGAACCAGAACGGAGGCCAGATTTTAAGAGAATAGAGTTATCTCTGGGTAAGATTTTCAGGTACGTCAACACCACACGTTTATTAAGGCTGACTTTTAATCATTTCACTTATACACTACATGGCCAAATGTAGGTCACCTGAACAAAGCATGTGGACAATACACCCATAAAATGGGAAAAAGCCTTCTCCTTACTGAAGCACACTATTGTCTAAACTGTGTGATTTAAATAAATGTGGCATTAAAGTTTCCATTAATTAAAAAACTATGAAAAACAGGGATGTCCACATACTTTTGGCCATAGAGTGTATGTAGTTCTGTTTATTTCTATAAGATAAATTCTTGCTGCACAATTATGTTGCATGATGATTAATTCATTAAATTATATAAATAGTAACATAATATATTTTTCCTTTGACACAGTAATCTGCACAACCAGGCCACTGAGACATACATGGACAACCTGATCCGTCGCCTGCAGATGTACTCCAGGACTCTAGAGCGTCTGGTGGAGGAGAGAACCTCCTTGTACAAAGCTGAGAGGGACAGAGCGGATCGCCTCAACTTTATGCTACTTCCTGGGTAGGTTATATTTTATTTGTTGATATATAAAAGAGGGCGGTTAAAAACAAGGACGTATTTTAAAGCGATACTAATTATTAAATTTAAGTTTACAAAGAATCACATTTTTTTAGGGACCCAGAGGGAAAGTTAGGGATCCGGGGGCTTATAAACGACACATACAAAGAACAGAACAGAATAAAAACATGAGAATAAAGACACTGCAGTGAATGGAGAGTCTAACCACCCGAACTGCAACAAGGAGTTGTCACTGTAATAGAGTGTGTGCTAAAGGAAGTAGTTTAAATGTAAGTCATTAAAAAGTAACTGAAAAGTTAAAAACAGTGCCAGAATAATATAAAATAAAATACAGATTGAAGATAAACATATGAACAAATGCAAGTGCAGATTGTGCATAGCCAGTAACCTACACTCCAGCTAGTGTACACAGACTAAAAATATTAAATGAGATACAAATAGAAGATAAATATATAAACAAATACAGATGCAAATTGTGCATATTTAGATTTGCATGATGTGAAAAGGGTTGCTCGTACTCACAAACCCACAGAGAATTATTACACAACTCTGCAGTGCCCATCAATCCTACAGCATCTGTATTTGTGTATTGTTTTGGTTTTATGACCTACCAACCCTGCTTTCATCAGCATAATTTACCAGTTAACATAGTGGAGCATTATGCTGCTAAAGAGCCAGATAAGGAGACTAAATCTTGGACTTAAATTCAGGTTATTTGAAACACAAATCCAAATGACTCTGATGTTGCTTCATATCTGCTGGATGTGTAAATGTTTGTCATTAAGACTTTAAGAGGTGAAAATATCCTTGTACAATCTATAATAGCCTTGTATCTATGTACAGGTTTAGTGTGTTTTTATTTGCCTTATTGTCTTTCTGTTATATTTTCTCTATTGTTTCTTGTGTATGTATGTCATAAATCCTGGAAGCAGGAGGATTTTGAAAAGGAATGTCTAGAATTTTTTTTCCAGATTTTAAGCAATAAGAATATTTATGTATATTATGATTTGAAGAGACTGACTGTCATTGATTTACTTCCTCCCTTGTCTTTGTATTTCACACAATGTAAAAGGCACTGAGTGTCTGACCTACAGCTCAAGACAAAGCTGTACACATACATGCTATATTACCTTTGCATAAATGTAACTGATTTTAATCGTATTAAAAGCCAATCAATTAACATCAATATTTTCCACTCTTCCTGTGTCTCCTCAGCCCAGTGGTGCGTTCGTTGAAGGAGACGGGCAAGGTGAAACCAGAGCTGTTTGAGGAGGTGACCATCTATTTTAGTGACATTGTGGGATTCACCACCCTCTGCCACTACAGCACCCCCATGGAGGTGGTCGACATGCTTAACGACATCTACAAGAACTTTGACAGCATCCTTGACCACCATGACGTCTACAAGGTATGAAAATTTGAATTCAGGCTTGGGTCCTTTATAATGTCCTGTTTAACCAGTCAGCCAAAGTGGTTAAACAGACCTATCTTGTATAGAACTTAGATTTGAATGTTAAAACTCAAAAGCTAGCAAAAGTTAGAGTTTGATTGGTATTTATAGCTGATTATTTCATTACTTTGTTCATGTTTACTGAATACAGATAATGTTTTTATTAATAAAAAGATCCATCCATTGTATCTCAGGTTGAGACCATAGGAGATGCATACATGGTTGCATCAGGTTTGCCAAAACGCAATGGCGACAGGCATGCAGTGGACATCGCCCTCATGGCCCTGGACATGTTGGCTTTTGTAGGGACTTTTGAGTTGCTGCACCTGCCTGGCATCCCTTTGTGGATCCGTATTGGTGTGCATTCAGGTAGATTGACCATTTCTGAAATGAGGTATATTTTATGGTAATAGAAGTGCATTATTTTTTTGTCACATGAAAGCGCAGCACATATTTTAAAAGAGGTCGTCAAGGCAACATAATATGAATCCATAGAAGGGGCAAACTTGCAAATGTGAGTCAAAATATATAAATGCCTAAATTACATAAATAAACCTAAATAGAGTAGATTAATTAAACAGCTTGCAGAACTATTAACAAAATTCATTTTGTCTCCATTTTATTTATATTCCTTTCTTCTTAAATATAACTGAGAACAGCGTGACTTCACATGTCTGTGGGAAAGACTCACATACATTTAATAATTGAAGGAAGGGTTCCAATAGTAAGCAAACAGTAGGCGGCAATAACACACTGTTACAATGCCAACCATTTAATTACAAGAAAAAAGAGAAAGTCCAAGCAATTTTTCTTCTTGACTGTAATAATGTAAGGGAATAGGTGGCTCAATAATATAAAGGATGAGTCAGGATAAATCAGACACACATTTCTCTATATTGTAGGTGTTATAAATTATCCCAAATGTTTTGTGCAGAACATGAGAAAATGTGTGAGAACTTGTAAAATAAGAAAAGTGACTTTAATCAATTAACTGCATTTAAATTATAAATCACATATGAATTCTTGTTAATTTGTGTGTAGGGCCGTGTGCAGCAGGAGTAGTGGGGAACAAAATGCCTCGCTATTGTCTTTTTGGAGATACAGTCAACACTGCTTCACGCATGGAGTCCACAGGCCTGCGTAAGAGACAACACACACTCATACACAAATTTTATGAGAGAGAGTTTAAGAGAGCTGAGGGTTTGACTCTTATTTTTTCTCATGTCGTCTTTCCAGCTCTGAGGATTCATGTCAGTCAGTCCACCATCAGCATCCTGCAGAGGACAGACTGCAAGTTTGAGTATGAAAAAAGAGGAGAGACGTACCTGAAGGTGAGCTGGGTTTGCTTTGGCTTTTTATGTACTTAATTATTCAGGTATTTACATCAAATTTAAACCTTACAGATAGTGACTACTACTTTCATGTGCTGTGTGTGTGTGTCTGTGTCCATGTGTTCCTGACCTACAGGGTAAAGGCAAAGAAATGACATACTGGTTAACAGGCGCGACTGGGGGGAAATACAACCTCCCGACACCACCAACAGCGTGAGTAAAAAACACAGTCTCATCTAGATTTACTCCAAACACTTCTCTTAGACAAACTCTGACAACATACGGTATCTACGACTACTGAAAGATGCACTCTCTGGCCCCCAAATCCCAACTTTTGCTTCCAGCTCACTATTGATGTGTTCAGATACAAAACAGTGAGCCTGGTAGAAATTTTGGGATATAATGGGACCTTAACAAAATCAGGGAGTATGTCAGATCAATTCAATTTTATTTTAACACCTATAGAGCAGGTCTAGACCGTACTCCTTATAAATTATTTACAAAGACCCACGAGGATCAAGATGAGGAGGATAATGATAACAGCAATAATAATGATGATGATAATGTAGAACTTCAGTTTAGTCTGAGTTTAACATTAGAAAATTCAGAGCAGGTCATCCAAATTTGTATGTCCTTAAGGCATGCTTGTCATTTAGTTAATTGATTAGTTTTATCTGCCTTGATCAATAGATTAATTAATAATAATTAGGCATCTTCTGGTTAATAATGAAGGTTAATGGAGTGATTCCTAATAATGTCCCCTAAAGAAAGCATAGCATATATAAGGTTAATAGAATTGGTCCCAGCACAGAACCTTGAGGAACTCCTGGACTAATTTTGGCATTCATGGAGGATTAATAGTTAATATGTACAAACTGAGATTGATTTGATAAATTATTATTATTGTTTGAATAAATATATGTAAAACAGTTCACATAGTATATAGTGAGTCTAACTCTTCATTATGTTGCTTAATGAATTGTATTGTGTCTATCAATTTACTTGCCATTTAGCACTAACAGCATCATCTTCTGTTATTGTGGAGAGACATCATTCACAGGTTTGGTTTCTCTAATATACATATAATCTTCATGTTTCTGTCTCAGGGAGAACTTCCAGCGACTCCAGCAGGACCTGGCGGAGATGATTGTGTCTAGTCTGGAGAAGCGTGGAGACGGGAGCGAGCGCTTCAAAAAGACCCTGTCTACCAAAGTCCGCCGGAGGGAGACCAACAGCAGCATGCAGGGGGACAGCCCACCAGAGTACTTCCACCTGGCTGTCACTGACAACCCCAGTACCTATCTGTGATTACAGTAGAGCTCTCCATACAATATCCAAGGAGTAGCCAACGTAGAGGTGCGTCCTAGCCTGTGAGCTGTCTGAATCAGCACTGCTGTGGACAGCTCTGTTCACTCAGGGGGTGTAGTGACAGTCGAGCAACAGTTGAACAAGCAAGCATGACACTAGATGTAATGATCAACGTGAATGCCACAGGGTCTCAGTTCTCTTGTTCACCGTTGATGTTTCTCCCCCTCAACACCCACCCCTCTGTCACATTAAATGTTGTTGTACTCACTAAAAGGAACAATCCACCCACAGATACCGTTATATGTCAGTCAAGACGTTTGTTGTGGTGAAGGAAGTGCTATAACTAAGCTCCCTCCTCTTTTATTGTGTGGGACTAACACATTTTCCCACATTTTTTTCATCAACATCACTTAGCTGTGTACTGATTTGACCCGTTATTCATGGGAATAAGAAAGGAACCAAACATTGAAACTAGCCTAAAGAGTAGCAAACACATAGGCAACATTTTAACAATATGAAATGAGACATCATTTTCTTATGAGGCTCACTTTATGAGATTATTAGCTGCTGTCTGCCACCGTGTTTATTTTAATACTACTACTTGGAGGACAAAGTCAGGCATTTTCAAATTCTCGAATAATGACTAGAAATTGTACCTGGAAATGTTTTGGGTGGATCTTTCTTTTAAAATGTTTAAAATAAAAATGGCATTGGTTTAAATGACACATGCCTTTTTGTAATTTGTAACATACTCTGTGACCTTTGCCTACTCCTGGGCTGTGGACAATGATGTCTCACACATCACAACCACATGAGTCCTCCTTTGAGATCTATTAGGAAAACCACATGGTCGGGCTTCTCCAATAGGCTTCCAAATAATGCAAGATCTTATTAAATGTACTCTTCTTACCTTTACTTTGAACAGTTTTCCGTTTATGTTTAGATGTTTCCTGCAGAATTTGTATTGATTAAAAAAGTTTGACAAAATTATTTACCATGTAAATAGCCTTTTCAGCTGCAAAGACAGTGAAACTATATCTAAATACTACTTGTCATACTATGGCGGAGAGCTGAGAATATTTCTCTTTCACAGCACAACAATGCTACCTTGTTTTCAGAACATCAGAAGTATTTTTGTGATGATTTTGGTTTTGTGTTTTATTAAATGATATTTGAAATATGGCACAAGATTCATAGTAGTTCTTTGTTTTGTCTTTTAACAACACTTTGCAGTAAAGTACTACACACAGTCAAGCAGTGCAGAGAAATAAAACAACAGCTGTAGAAAATTCAGTAAAAAACATAGAAAATGGTAGAAAAAGATATCCAAAATTCGGATTAAAAACTTGGGAAAAGTCATCACACTAAGCACAACGTGCAGAGTAGTAGTACGAAAAAATTTTAAGAGCACACACACTGATCTACATAGTTTTAGTTGTAACTAATGCAGTGCCACCCAGCTCTGTGGCAGGAAGTGGGATCCTGTGTTCGCTGATTGCGCTGCATGTAGATGTAGGCAGCTCCCCCCACCTCTCTGTCCCAGCATGCTTTGCGGGGTCCCTGTAAGCGATCAAGCCCTCCTCCCTCTGTAAGCCGGTTTTGGCCCGAGAACAGGGTGAAGGGGCCCCTGCTGCTCTCTGCATCATCTCTGTATGACTGTTTCTTTGTGAAGGCAGTGAGTGGATTATGGCAGGTGTTTTCTGAAGAGGATCCCGTTGCAGCTCTGCATCCTCTGCAACACAAATAACTGAGACATGAGTGCGTCACTGAATATTAAAATTAAATTTTTTATATTTAACATATACTGTATATATAGTGCCTAAAAGGATCTTCTTGAACACACATGCAGATCTTAAGATTGAAGTTAAGCACTGATCATTTAACACTCTGGTATGAACTATAGAGAACATTTGGAAGCATTATGGTCCCATAATACAGAATACACTATAGAACATGATAAGCAAATGTCACACAACCACACACATCCAGTATATCAACATATTAACCCTCTACTGAAAGATTGGGGTCTATGAATCAAAGAATTGTCCTCTTCAAGAAACAAGACCCCCCAAAATAAAAACATTTAAAGAAAATCCAGCAACAAGGTTCATATTACATCATAATACATCACTGTCAATAGTATGCGCCTCCCTGCACAATGTTGCATTGTGTTTAGGAATATATAGACAAAATACAATTGCCTTTAAACCAGCAATTATGCTTCTTAAGAGATTAAGGCACATGCTTGTATTAATTTCCAACAAGTTATCATAATTTTAAGGCGTCTATAAAGGATATAAGGGTCAAAAAGACCTCAGGCCTTAGGGCAGCAATATGCAGCAGAGGTTTTTATTTTATTCATATATATATAAAATACTGTATTCCTTGAATATAGGCTGATGAATGTGCATTATAACATTTGAGAAATGTGATTTTTTTTAAATACAAATGTGCATCTGTTATATGTTGCCTATACATCAGTGTATATTGTTTTTTAGTATAACTCAGCAGCTACATTATACTGGGATAAAAAATATTTAAGATACTTATATCAGAGGATTTCCTTGAAATGCCATATTTCTATATTGTCATTATTTAGTCAAGTAGTGTAACAAATCTTTTAAATATTCCCAGACAAGCATTAGAGAACAATAATGATTTATTTTACAACAGCTAAGTGGGTAAAGCTGAATACCTCCAACTCTGCTAATCAAGTTTTTTGCATTCCTGGTTGTCCTGAGGATTAATGTCTATTGACAGACAATTGACTCAATGAGGACAAAAGCATGTTACTGATAATATGAATTTAGTTTCTCCTCAGTCCTGAGAGTTTTTATTTAACTCGGTTAAGACAGCGAAGGAGCTGCATTCCAGAGGAATAAAATTATAGTCATGATCATGCACAAAGGCTCAAGCTTTTCAGTCTGACTTTCATCGACACAAATGCCTTTGGCAGGCTCGTTCACTGACTGTGAGAGTTGTTTTAAATTCAAGAGTTTGAATAAGTATGTTTCACACACACAGACAACAGCACAGAGTCGTAGCCAGGATTAGGATAGAAATACTCACTTAATGAATGCTAGTACTGCTATGTAAGGATTGGGGTAGAACATTTTGAAGAATATAGTTAAACATTGCATTTTAATGTATTTTGAGAGTAACAGTAATCGCTTAGGAAATCATATCAGAGTGCAACATGAAAATTTTACTGTAGCCTACTGCCCAGCTTGTTTTTTTTTTTTTCATTTTCGGGTGTGGGGTACTCACCCGAACTAGGCAGGGTTGCTACAACCACTAGAAATGGTGTGTTCAATACAAGGGAAGGAACAGGTGCTGGAAATTATGACTTATATTAAATTATAATTTGATTCAACCTCATTTCTTATTTATCTGACCTTTAAAATAAGAAATAAAATAATGTAAATGTGATTCTTGTTTGCAATAAAACTAAAAGAAGAGGTATTTCTCATTATTGATCAATAAATTATATTGATTAATGAGTGAGATCCCTTAAACATTTTGGTAATAATCACTGGACACACAACTATCTGTTGTTCCTGTACATTCACACGAACCTCTTCCAAGGTAAGGACCATTTCTGGAGTAAGCCAATAAACAGACAGCGTGACTGCAGCAAAGTAGGCTAATTGTTTATTTGAAGCTGAAGCTGTGCTGTGTAACTTTATTATAATGTATTAGCCTATTTAACATTGTGAATATTTTTGCCACTGAAAATGTCAAAGCCAGAACTCCTAATTGATTCTGTTGGCAAAAGTTTGGATATGTCACGTTTGAATGCATAGAAATGGTTAATTGTTTGTTTGCTCAGATCTTAAATAAACTTGCTGCTTCTGTTCCTGTAGTGTAACTCTGGGTTTACTTGTAGGAGTGTGTAGTGACTGAGTACTATTATCCAGGCCTAACATTCATGGCATTGACCAATCTTGCTCTGAGAGGTAGGCTATGTAACTGGAGCGCTCTTCCTTATTATTGCCATTCTATACCAATTGGCTATAACACTATGACCACCTGGGCACCCATCAACCTCGAGGGCAAAATGTTCACTTGCTGCCTAATATATCCCAACCACTGACATGTGCCTTGATAACCAGATAATCAGTGTTAATCACTTCACCTGTCAGTGGTCATAATGTTATGGCTGATTGGTGTATTATTCCGATAATGTTCCTATTATCTTTTTGTATCATCCATATTGCCAATACCATATTGATAAAGCAACCTAAGGTAACCTGTATTCAAACACAGTTTTGACTGTTGGGGAGTGTTGCGTGTATGTAGGTTACAACTGTAAACGTGCCTTCGTTAACAACACACATTACAACTAAGTTGTTTTAGCAATTCGTGAGAGACATGACCTCAGTGTCTTTAATGGTAGCTACGGGGCTGCACCAGCAGCTTTCAAGTATCTGGCTTTATTGATATAAGATGATGTCTCTCTGTCCACCAGGCCACACTTCTTACATAAAGCTGTTATACGACTGAGTGCAAGCTTTTCTGCTTTTAGTAGCTCTCTGTCAGTTTATGTGTTTTCAAGATCATGAGGCCTAACCAACGGATGCATGTTGAAGCAAGAATAGCTGGTAAGAGAGAGGGGCTGACCCATGGGACGCCTGAGAAAAAAGAGAACAGAAACTGTGGAGTTTCTACTGTGTCACACTTCATCACCTGCCTGCCTGCAACCCCACTTCCTCCACACTACTCTCAGATGCCTGCTCTGCATATCAGGCCCCCTGCTAACCAAAAGAGATATGGCCCCCACTGGATGAACACATAAAAACTACATGTTGTGTCCTAACATACAATACATCACCGTACGCGAATTAATCCAAGACATGGAAGATCAATAACTATATCTGAAATTATTTTCTTCATTTACCTGGCACATTATTGTGTCGGATTTGACTATCTATATATGACTATGACTATATTCTATTCCAGCAGCTGCTTCTATAACGCTTTAGGCATTTAAATGTTAACACTGACAGAATAACGTGTTTTTAAATCCTGTTTAATGCAAGGCATTGTCTACTGTCTTTTCCCAAAAATTACACTCTTGTGAAAGCAGAGAAACTTCAGAAACAGCTTTCAAACCATTATGTTGCACTCAAACTCTAAAACTGGGAAAAGAATGCAAAAAGAAACCCTCCTATCAGCTGCTGGGATATGTTGGCCTTTATTTGAAGAATCCATTCATAAAGAATAAAACTGAACATGAATAATCCAGTTAATAGTGTTAGTTGTCGTTACCTGAGGTCCTGCTGAGGCCGGTCTGTCGTCTGTATATGATAAACCAGAGAGTCAGAGCCAAGATGGACCCCAGTGTTGCCAGCACCACAAAGATCCACAGCGCTGGACTAAACACCATCACTGGGTTGACCTGGAAAGTTTTGGAAATGTGGGCCGTGGGTTCTGAGAAAAACAGACAGATTAACTACCTCAACAGCTGTAAACATCCACTATACCATACTATAAAGGAGCATAGCTACAGTAAGGACCAAAACTTTCAAATCTGAGTCAGTAAACAATTTTAAAAATAATAAAGTGTTTAAGATCAAAAGATGTATTTATCATACAGACAACTTAATGATGTCAGTTTTTGACTAATCAGTTTATAGATTTTAAAGTCCTTTAGCAGCTGTACACAGGTATAATCATCATACTGCTTTGCATTACAGAGTAGAAAATGAATACAGGTCAGGTGTGGGTTTTAGATAGCCAGGAAGAATTTGAGTCAACATCAAGTGGCCAAGAAATGTCAAGTCAAAATAGGTTCAAAGAAGATTTAGGACTAAAACTTTCAGGAGGCAGATTGAAAAACAGAAAAAATAAACTCACCTGTTGGTGGTTGAGGTTTAGCTTTGGTTTGTGTCTTGCTGGGGATACAAGTGTTGAGGAGGGTGTCCCAACGGCTGCCAAAGGGACACTTTGGTTTGGTTTGTGTCTTGCTGGGGATACAGGTGTAAAGGAGGCTGTCCCAACGGCTGCCAGCAGGACAGTCTCTCTTTGCCATGGCTGAAGGTAGGATGAGCAAGGTGGAGACCTGCTGCACTGTTTGCCTGCCCTACACTTGTGTTTGTGACACAAACAGAGAACTGTGAGACACAGAGGAGAGATATGATAGGAGGATTTATGAAACAAATGCAGAGTGCCTAACAGACGTTTCAGTTCCTCCATGTCATAGGAAAGGGTGAATCACTACATGGGTCCCTGGTGGCAAAGAGAGAGAGAGAGAAAGAAAGAGAGAGAGAAATATGTAATATATGTATATTATATACATTGTATTTACATATAATATATAATGTGCATTATATATTTTAAATATGCAATATGGAAATATGTACTTTTGTTAATTGCTTTGGTAACATGTTTCTGTTGATAAACGTGATAAATAACGCTCTTTGAATTGAAACTTAAATTTTGAGAGAGAGAGACGGAGAGACACAGACAGAAACAGAGAGACAGAGACAGCAGAGAGAGACAGAGCAAGAGAGAATGACAGAGAGAGAAAGAGAGA